TAAATATGTTAAATCTAGAACACCATTGGTCATAGGGGAAATTATCTATTTTAAGCACTATCAAAATGAACAAATTGTAAAAGAATGTGCTTCTATGAATTTCCATAAATTGTAAGCACTATCAAAATGAACAAATTTGTTAGAAAATGATGAGTCAAAGGCATTAAGCAAATATTCTAACAAAAGCTTGTTCATAGTAAACATTCTTTTATCATTGTTGCTCCACTTGGATTTTTTCGAAGTGGGTATAATATAAGCATCTTTAATAACTTCCCATAAATCGAATTGTTTAGATCTAATAAATATGTTAAATCTAGAACACCATTGGTCATAGGGGAGATTATCTATTTTAGGAGCAACAATAGGATCATAGCCTAAACAAGATGCACAATGTATGTCCATAATAAAAAAATGTATGCAAGCAAGATACAAATAAAATCAAAACAAGATTAGCAGAAAAAGATAATTTGGTTCTTTAACTCAAGGCGATTAGACCTTAAATCAAAGAGCACCAAGCTCTGATACCAATTGTTAGACCCTAGAGGGGGTGATTAGGGTCTTATGCTAATCTAATCCGATTTTATGCCAATTAAAACTAATTAACAAATTATTCTTACAAGAGAGATATACAATATGTTACAAGCAAGAATAAGCAATATAAACAAAGATAAATATCATAGCAATGAGATATACTATGAGATATATGTAAGGATATATAATTAACATAAGGATAAACAATCTAAACTAGATAGTGGGCAATATAATCAACAAGCAATATACAAAGGTGATATACGATATGAACATAAAAATAAGTGCGCCAATGCAATCACAAACAAACGATATGATTACGGAGTTCGGTCCCCATGACCTACGTCTCCGCTCCTCACCTCGATGAGATCTCCACTATCACAACCGGGTTTTCTGCGTTTACCCGAACAATGTTTACACCTCACAATACGGTTTTCTAGTTTACCAAAAACTCTATAACTAACACACTCTTGTAATCCCACTCTACACCCTCTCAAGTGTTGAACTAGACGTGTCTCCCTCAAGTGCTCGGATACAACCTCTCCCTAGGTTCGTCAACCGACGCCACTCCTCTTGGGACGATCCCCGACTCTCGCCACATACTTCTCTCGGTGTACAAGTGTATTACAAAGTGAATCTCACAATAAGCACAATACAAAGTGTTTGTTCTCTACAATGGATGAGAACGAATTATAAGCTCACTCTCTAAGTTACATAATCCCACAATCCAATTATACTATGAATGTAAATACAATAAGCCCAATGGCTGCGTGTGTGTAAACAAAGAGAAAATAAAATCAACTAAACTAAATATGAACACTAGCTTAATAAAATGATAATCAAACAATATAAAATATAAAACTAGATTGAGTTTAGAAAACTTCTCAATAGATCAAGAGTGGAAGGAGAAGAGTTGGATGCTCAAACACTAATAGATGATCTGCTCAAGCTCTTGTGAAATTGATTTCACAAACTCAAACTCTCAAATGCTTAAAAGCTTCTTAAACAACACTTAAACCCTTGTTAAAACTTTGTTAAAACATTTCTTAGATTACTAAGAGAACTGAGATCAATGGGGTACGTATTTATAGCCTCCCAAAACCTCAGCCAAAAACCCCAAACAAAAGACCAAAAAGCCTACAGAATCGAAAATCGGATTTTGTACAAAAATAGCCATTGGAGTGAACGGCGGTCAACCGTGAAAATCTCGCGGTGGGGGGGGAGCCACTTTCGAAGCTCAGAATTTTCCAGAGACTTTTGTGGTCGACCGTAGCGTTCGACCGTGGAAAATTTTGAGCTGACGGTCGACCGTGGCGGTCAACCGCGAAAGTTACTGTTGGCTCCGCGGGTTAAAACAAAGGCGCGATCGACCATGGCGGTCGACCGTAAACTGACATATGAAATACAGGTTTGAAAGTTATTTTCTGATTTTAAAAACCTGTTTAAAAATATCAAATAAATTCAGAAAAATATAAAACTTTGGAAAATAATTGTAGACATGATAATACACATGCTACAAAAACTGGTTTTCAAAAAGGACCTCCCAAATAAAAAATATCATTATTTTGCAAAATAATCCAAAACATGAAAATGTGAACACATGAGTTTTGACATTTTAGTTTAACCATATTTTGAAACATTACAAAATAATTTTATAGACTTAATAAAAGATGTATATGATTATTGTTAAGTCTATAAACCAAGAAAACAATATTTTCACAAATACAATAGAAAATGAAACATATGAGTATGTATATGAAAATATATTTGTTTCATATCTAAGTAGTTAAACCAAATCACAATAATAAATATGAAATATGTAATTTCATATTTATAAACATGAAAGCCAAAATTTGTGTTGTATATATATATGACTACATATATATACAAAGAAACTAATAAAATGTGTGTGTATATGATATTGAGCTTAACGTACTTAACACATAATATAACACCTAAACTAAATTACCCAAGCTTGATCTTGATCTCCATTGTAGCTCAACTTGATAAACTATGCGGATGAAGCTTGAACTTGGATCTTCAACTTGAATTGTACATAGCTTCACCTACTATTCCATCAACCTCCATTGGATATGATCGTGAATGCGCAATTCCATCCATCTTCTAACTCGTTGTTTGCTTAGAATAAATATGAAAACACAAATACTAGACAAACAACATTAGAAGTAAATTATTTGTTAAACATCATTAAAACAAGAAGGCCAACAGGCAGTGCCTTCAAGCTCTCCATGCTAAAATGTTTTGATTCGGTGACATAACAAAGAAAAGCAAAGCCTTTAGTCTATTTGCTATCCAATCCATCACAAGGTTAACTGAAAAAAATAAGAAAAAGGTGAAATTACAAGTGAATTCCTTTATAGATGAATGTACAGTTCCATAGAGATCCATACACACATCTAAGAAAACAGAAGTCATAACATTATTAACCATCATTAATCCATTTAGCATAGCTTTTTTAATGATCTCAACTGCGTCCTCGTTGCTCACAGTGTCATGTTATAATCACATTCTACAAACAGTAATTATTGTGTTGTATGATTGTGGTTTTGTTAACCAGGCAGATACCATTGCAAAATAACACTGATAAATAGTTACAAATGTAATCATGTCTCCAATTCACTGTATCACTTGTTAATGAATAAAATAATTGAGATGCATATAAAAGGTGCATGCAAATTAGAAGGGAGGGAAGGAGGAGGGTGCTACATTTAAATGATATATTAAAGCGTGAAGAAGGTGTATACCTGTTAGGATAGTGTTGAGCAGAAGAACACGCTACATGAAAGATAGGATCAAGATCGTTAATGTTAGCCAATAGTTAGTTTTGCATATTTTATAGATAGTCTTGATCGGAGAGAAGAGAATGTATACATTGTTTCTAGAATAATGAGATGTTAGGAATCTTGACCCCAAGATTAGTTTGTTTTAATGATAACAAATATTATATGTTATGTGTATTATGTGCTAACATTTGTTTTGCAGTATCAGAGCTATATCAACAATTATATTCAAATAGATACTCAAGACATAGATAAGTTCAAGGCAAAACGAAGCAAAGAAGAAGATATACTTTATTGTCAAAATATAATTTTACATTTTCTTTGCTTAGAAATTTATACAAGCCTTGATCACTCACACACATGCACACACATAGTGTTAGAACATACTAACACATGCTTAGTGTGTTGGTTAATAATAGAAATCCCCTATGTTAGCCATTAGAGTTTATAAAAATTGAGTGAGTCTTAAAACATTTCATTTATACCCCTTAGAAATTAGAATCTGGAAAACTCAAAAGACTAAAGTTGTAGGTCTCTTCAACAGATTTCCAATAAATCTTAAATCACCTCATTCTGATGTCAGATGAGAAAGTTACAGCCAAAATACTAAAAATAGAATTTCAGAATCTGTGAGTTTATAGTGTAGTCGACAACTATACCTTGTAGTCGACTACTAAGCAATTTTCTGACTTCACAGAGTCTGTTTAGACTCAGTGTAGTCGATACTATAACTTGTAGTCGACTATAGATACAGTTTTTCCATATTTCAGGTTTTGAATAAGTGACTATTTATAGCCGTTTTGTGGACGTTAATTAAGCTTAAATTTATGTCATTTCAGAGGCTATAAATAGGTTTAAACATCAGAAAACAAGCACCAAGCTTTGCACTTATAAGATTCACCTATTGTATAAATTAACTCTCTAAACTTTCAGTATTTCAATCTGTTTTTCTATAGAAGAGAGTTTCTGATATTACCTTTGTTCCTATCATTCTTAGAGCTTGTTTAGGCAATATTCAGAGAGTTAAAAAGATTGATAAACCACTGTTATACATTCATATCCATATCAAGGCTTATAGGATTGGAATTGTACATTACTTCAAAGAAAGATTCTCTTGGTTTATGAGAGGGGTTGATCTCTTGGTCTAGAGCTCAATTTACAATTCGCATGGTGTTGTCAATTGGGTTTGTAATTTGCATGGTCTTGCAAATTGGCCAGGTTTGCTTTTGATTTTGTAAGGTTTTAAAATCATAGTGGAAACTCTCAAGCGGGATTTGCTTGAGGACTGATTGTACACCGGGGAGGTGGAACCAATAAACATGCTTGTGTTTATGATGTTCATTTTCTGATATTGCCATTCTTTCTTTGCAATTTATAATCTACTTTGCAAACTCATCCTCTAGTGTTTAAGGGTAAAGCTTCCGCAAATTTTTCTAAGAGCGCACTCTATTCTTAAGGGTCACGATCCTACACTTGGTATACATAAGAAAAAATAGGATCCTACATTTGGTATCAGAGCATGGTTGAAAAAATGACATCAACTTCTGACTCAAACTCAAAATTCAAGGAAGGACATTCTATAAATCATCCATCAATGTTTGATGGACTAAATTACAATTATTGGAAGTATCGGATAAAAATCTATCTCCAATCAATTGGATACGTACTTTGGAACATTGTGGAAACAAAATACGAGAAGTCAACTACTCCTTTTATGGAATAGACTACATCTCAAAGGAACAATACAAATTTGGATCCTAAAGTAATGAACGTCTTGTTCTGTGCTCTTGACAAGAATGAGTTCAACAAGGTGTCAACAGCCACATCTGCATATGACATTTGGCACACACTCAATGTAACTCATAAAGGCACAAGTAAGGTTAAAGAATCTAAAATTTATATTCTTGTACACAGATTCGATTTGTTTAGAATGAAGGAAAACGAGACCATTGGAGAGATATTTACAAGGTTTACCGATATTACCAATTCTCTCATCGGTCTTAGAAAAGTATACACTCAAGTGGAGATGGTGCGAAAGATACTTTGTTCACTTACTCCACAAGGGGAAAAGAAAGTTATCGTAATAAAGGAAGCAAATGACTTGTCAACTCTTACGGTAGAAAATCTAATTGGTAACCTCATGGCTTATAAAGTTCAAATTGAAGATAGAAAGAATAAGGATGAAACAAAGAACAAGAAAGTGCTTGCATTCAATACTACTTCTGATAAAGAAGATTCGGATGATGATGAAGAAATGAGCATGTTTTCACACAAGTTTCGAAAGTTCATAAAACAAGGTAAGTTCAAATCAAAAAATTCAAATTCAAATAACTTACTTTGTTTCAAATGTAACAAACCAGGACATATGAAGAAAGATTGTCCATTATTGAAAAATAAGCAAAAATCAAATTAATTCAACAACTTCAACAATATTCAAAGCAACAAGAAAATGAAGACTTTGGCGGCTACATGGGATGATAGTGATGATTCGTCTTCGGATGAAGAAATCGAAGAAAAGGAAAGCGCACATATGTGTTTTATGGCACAATATGAAGTAAGCGACAATAAAGAGCTTTTAGATGCTTTCAATGAATTATATGAAATATTTTTGAGATTAAATACTTCACATAATTTTCTTAAATGTGAAAATAAAAGATTGCTTGAAGAAATTTCTGATTTTAATTCTTCTACTGTTTCTAATTCTCAAGTAATTGAATTGAAAGTGGAAAATAAATCCTTGCTTAAAGAAAATCATATTTTGACTAATGAGAATGTTTATTTAAAATCAGAATGCAATGATTTAAAAATTCGCATTAATGTTTTAGATAAAGATATTTCTTCTATTAAATTAAAATATGATGATATATGTTTGAATGTTAGTAAATTCAATAAAGGTAAAGAGAATTTTAATAATTTGCTCACATTTCAAAAATCTTCAAACAATTATTTTGGCATTAGATTTGTTCCTAAGTATTTTACAAAGAATGATTATGTTTTGAAGAACAATAATAAGAATATTCATGCTAAACAAAATAAGTATATATGGATTCCTAAGAATTTGAATATTCATGATAGGAATGATTATATTTCATCTTATATGTATGAAGTTTGCAATTTAAAGAATTATACTTATTTTAATAAATGGAAACCAAATTCCAAGTGGATTTGGATTCCTAAGGGCTAATACTGATGATATAATATAAAAGGGTACCAAAGTGCTTAATATTTTTATTAAGGTACCCGGGAAAAGAAATTATTAACTAGAATTATGTTTATTTCTTCTTGCTAATGACAAAGGGGAAGTTATATAGAAAATTTTTAATTTTTACTAATGCTTTGATGCAGGGGGGGTAAAAGATTTTATTTAATGATTTCATACAGGAGAATTAAAAATTTTATATCTTAATAACATATATTTGTCATCATCAAAAAAGGAAAGAATGTTAGCAATCTTGACCCCAAGATTAGTTTGTTTTGATGATAACAAATATTATATGTTGTGTGTATTATGTGCTAATATTTATTTTGCAGTATCAAAGTTATATCAACAATTATATTCAAAGAGATACTCAAGACATAGATAAGTTCAAAGCAAAATGAAGCAAAAAAGAAGATATATTTTATTGTTAAAATATAATTTTATATTTTCTTTGTTTAGAAATTTGTACAAGTCTTGATCACTCACATACATGCACACACACATAGTGTTAGAACACACTAACACATGCTTAGTGTGTTGGTTAACAATAGAAATCCCTATGTTAGCCATTAGAGTTTTTAGGTATTGAGTGAGTCTTAAAATATTTTATTTATACCCCTTATCAATTAAAATATGGAAAAACTCAAAAGACCAAAGTTGTAGGTCTCTTCAACAGCTTTCTAACAAATCTTAAATCACCTCATTCCAATGTTAGATGAGAAAGTTACAGTTAAAATACTAAAAATAGAATTCTAGAATCTGTGAGTTTATAGTGTAGTCGATTACTATGCCTTGTAGTTGACTACTAAGCAATTTTTTGACTTCACAAAGTCTGTTTAGACTCAGTGTAGTCGACTACTATGACTTGTAGTCGACTACAGATGTAGACTTTCCATACTTCAGGTTTTGAATAAGTGACTGTTTATAGCCGTTTTGTGGACGTTAATTGGGTTTAAAATTATGTCATTTCAGAGGCTATAAATAGGTTTAAACATCAGAAAACAAGCATCAAGTTCTGCACTTATAAGATTCACATATTGTGCAAATTAACTCTCTAAAATTTTAGTTTTTCAATCTGTTTTTCTATAGAAGAGAGTTTCTGACATTACCTTTGTTCCTATCATTCTTAGAGCTTGTTTAGACAATGTTCAGAGAGTTAAAAAGATTGATAAGCCACTGTTATACGTTCACATCTACATCAAGACTTATAGGATTAGAATTATACATTACTTCAAAGAAAGATTCTCTCGGTTTATGAGAGGGGTTGATCTCTTAGTCTAGAGGTCGGTTTACAATTGGCATGGTGTTGTCAATTAGGTTTGCAATTTGCATGGTCTTGCAAATTGGTCAGGTTTGTTTTTTATTTTGTATGGTTTCAAAATCATAGTGGAAACTCTCAAGCGGGATTTGCTTGAGGACTGGATGTACACCGGGGGAGGTGGAACCAGTATACATGCTTGTGTTTGTGATGTTCACTTTCTGAGATTGTCATTCTTTCTTTGTTGTGTTTGTGATGTTCACTTTCTGAGATTGTCATTCTTTCTTTGCAATTTATAATCTACTTTGCAAACTCACCCTCTAGTGTTTGCAATTTATAATCTACTTTGCAAACTCACCCTCTAGTGTTTAAGTGTAAAGCTTCCGTAGATTTTTCTAAGAACGCACTCTATTCTTAAGGGTCACGATCCTACACTTGGTATACATAAGCAAAATCAAACCCTACATGAGATGCCACATAACTATTGTTTTTACATATGCAAACAGGTCAGACAAAATGTGGAATGTATATAGTTAAAAGAATTTCTAGGGGTAAATTCACATTAGGGACATGAAAAGAAGGAATTAGGCAAAAATAAGTAAATCCACAGAAATGTTAAAAGAATGTCTCTCATGCTAGAAAAATATGAGGACCATAAACACAGAAAACCATATACAAGATAACTCAACCAAATCAAACAATAGATAATGGAAAAGCATTTATAGTTCACAATTATGTAAGAACACAAATAATCAATTGACCTGCACTGTCCATCTTGACTAGGCTTGATGGAACCTTGATACCTCTGGTACTGAGAAAGCCAGACCCATGGCTTGACCAAGCCTATGATAAGGATCCTGAAACAGTCAGTTACATAAGTGATGAATTGTACATGACATCCAAAATATTAAAAGAAGGTAGTAATAAGAAATTGAACTTTCGTATGCTCAAACCCAAGGCATCTAGCACTTAATCAAATCAAACACAGAGAAGAACCAACAAACTCATCCAACTCATCCCTGTTACCCACCAACTGCTAAGTATTCCAGTACATCCTTCTTAGACATTTCATCAAATACCCCAAGTGCAAAGTCAAAAGACCACATTTTGCAAGAATTACATAAGAAGGTTTCTGATGGGTTTCCAATAGTTTCCGTATTAAGCTTGGCACAGTTGAAAAGAAATACGGTAATGGAAAAAGTAGGAATGAACTAATGTGACATTTATTTCATTGAGACAAACATACACGACACTGACTTAGCAGAAATATGCACTTTACCTCATCTTCATGTGCTTGAATTGAATGTTGTGGCTTTGATGTGCGCAAGTTCCATATCATCAAGATATGAACATCTCCAACAGAAGTAAAAATTTTCTCATTTTCCAAGTGCCATGAAACATCCTCGACTGCAGCCATGTGAGCCTACAACACAAAAGAGTTCATGCAATGTAACAAATATTTGGTTGTTAATTGCAAGAGAGCCCCAACCTAGATATGGGGTGGGGGCAACATTTTAGCTTTTCCACTCCAAAGGTAAATACATATTGCTCCACGTCAATATGAAATGCATTCTATATTCCATTGAAAACAAGGGTTTCCTCATATTAGACCCTAAATTTTATTCTATTTGCTATACTAGCACCCAAAATTTCCACAATTTTCAGTTACAACCCCCAAATCTTAATATATGCTCTTAGCAAGCGTGTTATTTTAATTTTTACAAATTTGGAGGTCTGATTTGAAACAACTTAATGGATTTATTGGTGTAAAGAGCGCTAATAAAATAACAGGATGAAGCTAAGGGTCTAACATGTAAGCAAAATATAACTATATATTCATTAAAGAAAGAAAATATAGGGAAATCAGTTCATAACAATCAAATTAGCAGCAAGTATTTCCAAAAATTACCCATTGAAGTACACAAAGAGTCATGTAGGAGTCCCATATTTTGATAAAATTGTTAAACAACAAAAAATGGCAGCTTTCCCTTGAAATATTACCTAAACTTTATTTTTTTCCTGAATACAACAAGGGTAACATGAAATAGAATTTTAAACAGGCATTATCTCGAACACCTGGCTAGCATCCAAAACCTTCCCTCCTCCACAACCCCCAACAACCCAAATGCAAATCTTCGAATCATAACCCCCACTTATCAACCACCCCTCCTTCACCGTGCTCCAATCAACCTCGTGTTGGATATCATGTCCTCATGATATAATTTTGATGATAACAATGTATTCATAATATGAATCACTATGTGTATTATTGTGCACTAACATTTCAATACATGTATCAACATGAACAAGTGCAAGATGAGTTCAAGGCATCATGAAGTAAAGAAGATGAAGAGCTTATACATCAATGTAATTTTTAAATTTTCTTTACTTCGAAAAATTATACAAGCCTTGACCACTCACACATACACACACATAAAGATTAGAACACATTAACACAGTCTTAATGTGTTGTTTAACAATAAAAATCCCCTATGTTAACTATTAGAATATTTAGTCAATTAATGAGTCTCAAAATATTTTATACATAACATTTTGAACCCTTAATAGTCAACTAATTAGATTAGTAGTCAACTACTAAAGTCTTAGATCAAAATATAAGTTTTTGAAATATTACAGAGTAGACGATTACAACTGATTATAGTCGACTAATAAAGACTTGGATAAAAACTTAGATTCTGTAAAAATGCAGAGTAGTCGACTACTACGAATTATAGTCGACTACTATGATCCAATTTAGAATTCTAGATTATCTGCTTTTACAGAGTAGTCGACTAATGACCATTATAGTTGACTACTAAGTAATTTTTTGCCTTCACAGAGTCTGTTTAAACTAAGTGTAGTCGACTATTATGACTTGTAGTCGACTACAGATGCAGTTTTTTTAGATTTCGGTTTTGAATGAGTGATTATTTATAGCCATTTTGTGGATGTTAATTGGGTTTAAAATTATGTTATTTTAGAGGCTATAAATAGGTTTAAACATCAGAAAACAAGCACCAAGTTTTGCACTTGTAAGATTCACATATTGTGCAAATTAACTCTCTAAACTTTTAGTTTTTCGATCTGTTTTTCCATAAAAGAGAGTTTCTGATATTGTCTTTGTTCCTATCATTCTTAGAGCTTGTTTAGGCAATATTCAGAGAGTTAAAAAGATTGATAAGCCACTGTTATATGTTCACATTCACATCAAGGCTTATAAGATTGGAATTGTACATTGCTTCAAAAGGTTCTCTCGGTTTTATGAGAGGGGTTGATCTCTTGGTCTAGAGATCGGTGTGATGATTGGCATGGTCTTGTTAATTGGGTTGTAATTTGCATGGTCTTACAAATTGGTCATGTTTGCTTTTTAATTTTGAAAGGTTTCAAAATTATAGTGGAAATCTCAAGCGGGATTTGCTTGGGGACTAGATGTACACCGGGGAGGTGAAACCAGTATGCATGCTTGTGTTTGTGATGTTCACTTTATGTGATTGTCATTCTTTCTTTACAATTTATAATCTACTTTGTAAACTTACCCTCTAGTGTTTAAGTGTAAAGCTTCCACAGATTTTTATAAGAGCACACTCTATTCTTAAAGGTCATGATCCTACATTTGGTATACAAAGTAAAATCAGACCGTACACTCCGTACCCCTCCATATTGTGCCCTCTCCAAATTAGGCTTTTGCGACATGTGGAGGGCCCGGTTGACCTCGCCAGTATGCGGGGCCCTGTGGTCGATGTTATTGGACAGGCTAGGAGTGGGCGCCAAAGGGAGGGAGAAGGAATTCGGGAGAGGGGAGGGGAGGGGAGGGGAAGAGACGCTAGCAGCATGAGGAAGTAGGGGGAGAGTCAAAAAAGGTGGGGTCATATGGAGGAGGCGGGGGGGCGGTGTAGTGGCCCGTTGTAGGCCGGCGGAGGTGTGGAGGAGGGGGGGACCCGGTCGACACGGTGAGGGGGGGACACTCGAGGGCGTGGCTAAGGACGAAGTGGCAAAGGTAAATGGGTGTTCTTCTTTCCAGCACTCGGCACTCCTCAGGGCTGCCATGGCCGCTGATATCGGCGAGGACGATGGAATCCGAGGGCTGAGACGTTATTTCTAGGAGTTTTTGAAATGCGCTTCGGTCGCGGAGTCCTTGCCATCTATAATATGGGCAAATTTCAAAAGTAGGAACTGTCGTATGACTTTAACTCTTCTTTGCATGAGTCCTACATATCCTAGAAGGAATTCACCATCAGCATAGTAATCTAGAAGAAAATTATCTGGTCAGATATTTCTGTCTAGGATACTATCCTAGATGGAAATTTTTCGTCTAGGATGATTCATCCTAGATGGAATATCAATAGACGGATGTTTTTCTGTTCAATATTTTTATCAAATCCCTAGAACGATAAATTTTTCCGTCTAGGATGCCTACGTTTTTTACTAGTCGTCAATTTATCGGAAAATTGTAAAGGATGGTAAAGTAGTCTGAAGAAGAATAGACACTAAGAATAAACAGCAGCAGATATGTCGAATAACAGCTATTGATAGTCAAGTTTCAAAGCTTGTTTGGGCACTTGCCTTCATGCGCAAGAGCATTGAGTGTCATAGGTACATTTCTAAGGGCGTCAACGAACCCACGCAGATAATAACAATATTCATATGGTAAACATAATCAAATCACAGTAAAATCGGAAGCAATATAATTATATCATAATATATCTAAAAATTGACAACGACGAGTCATGAGCAAGAGGGATCTGCCTGCGGGTAGCGTCAACAGATTGACGTTGACGGCCGTGGATCGATCAGGTGGCGGAGGACGGCGATGTCTGCTCGGGGCGCTGCAGGAGGGGCCTGGCGGGATCTCGACGGCGCCTCGTGCGCGACAAGGGAAGACGGGGAGCTCGGGTGGGTAGAGGAGAAGGGTTGCGGGGGTTGAGGTGGGATCTGGTGCGGGGGAGAGTAGACGAGGAGGACGTGGAAAAAGCGTGGGTGAGGCGGAAGCTGAGCGTGGTCGACGGTGGAGGGTAGGGGCGGCGAGGTCGAGACGGTGGAGGATGAGGAGATGGAATGTGGTGGCTAGGCTGGATCTAGAGGAGATCCGAGAGGGCGGCGGTGTAGCGGTAGTTGTAGGATTGAGGGGGGTGGTTTGAGGCGGCGGGTGGAGGTGGTCGGCGATCAGGGCGGGGGCTAACGGCGGTCAATGGCGACCGACGGTGACGCGAAGGTGAGCTCGACGGCGGCCTTAGGCAGAGGAGATGGGCGCGGGTGTGGTCGAGCTTGGACGAGGCGGTGGGAAGAGAGGAAGAGAGAGAAGAGAGAGGAAGAGAGAGAAAGATGGTGCGGCAGCGTTGTGATAGGAGACAGGGAGAGAGGAGAGAGAACGAAGAAGGGCGGCGTGAACATGAACAGGAGAACGTATGGTATATATAATATATATATATATAATATATAATATATATATATATATATATATATAATATATATATATATATATATAATATATATATATATATATATATAATATATATATATATATTATATATATATTACTATATATATATAGTATATATATATATAATTAAAAAAAAAAAAAAAAAATGATATATATATATTATATATTATGTATATAAGTAATTCGGGTTTACAAAAAATAATTAAAAAATAATAATAATTACAAAATAAATTAAAATAACTATGTCAAAAATTACTTTAATGCAAAACAACCAGTTATACTAATACGATAAGATAATATAAAATCAGTAGTAAAATAATACAAAAATTGGTAGCAATTAAAATGAGAATAATTAATGATAAAATATAATACTTATATTTAAAAATAAATAAATATGGAAGTTATTCTACAAATAAAACAATACGCAGTTAATTATAATACAAACTGATATTATGCAAATGGTAAAAAATAATATACAATTAACATTGTATAATTTAACGAGAATAATTAATAAAATAATAATTACTTATATTAAAATTAAATAATTATAGAAAAATATATCTATATAATAAAACGTACCAGTTATACTATACAATAGATAATATTAATAATAGTAATAATACAAGCAGATTAATACAAAATAATATATAATAATAAGTACAACGTATTAAGCAAAATAATACCGTAATAGTAAAAATAATATAACGTATTATTCAAAATGATATGTAAATTAGTATCGACAATTACAACAGATTAATTCCAAAAATTCAAGCCGCACAAAATTGAATTTATAAATATTAATAATCATTTAAATAAATATAAAACATTAGACCTTTAATCATAGAAAATTTGAAAACGCCGAGAAAATACAGAATACTCTTTAAAAATCATAATTAAATATTTAAAATACTAGAAAATTATTTAATTAATCAGAAAAAAATTTACGGTCCTTACACAAGCGAATAGAGTGTAGTCGTCGCGTGAACATGCGATTCCACAGAGTAACGCACTCAAAAGTGGTAGTCGCCCATAATATCAGTGGCGGTGTAGCGGACATGCACACTCAACCAGACAAAAAC